CGCCGCCCGTTCCGCCGGCCCGCCGCCCGCCGCCGCCGCCCCCCCGCTCACCCGCAGCCGAGCCGCCAGGACGCAGTACGGCGCCATTTTGTTCACTGACAAAGATGAAGTCGCGCCCCGATGGCGTCACGCGGCCCCTTTCAGGCCTCCGGCGCGCGGGCGGGGGCGCCGCGGGGAGAGGCCGCGCAGGTCCTGGCAGGGAGGTACAGACGCCAAGAAGAGGGCCACGGGCCGCGACGCGGGTCTCCCCCGGGCGGGGGGAAGATTAACGGTGAAGCGACTCCGCGGAGAGAGCTTTCCCGGCAGCCCTCCGCCCCACCGCGCTCCGGCGTTCCCCCGTTCGGGGCGGTGCTTTGTCAGGCGCCGTCCTCACCCCAGCCAGGACCGGGGGCGGCGGGGAGCGCGGGTCGGAGGTGAGGGAGCGCGGCGGCAGGCGGGTGTCGCCTCGCCATGGCCAAGCACCACCCGGACCTCATCTTCTGCCGCAAGCAGGCGGGCGTGGGTGAGTCCCTGGTGGGGGGTTCACCCCCTCACCCTCTCTCCGCTGCGGGGCGGGGGGGGGGGGGGAGGCGGGTGTGCCGTTAGCGGCCGGGAGGCGCGCGCGGCCGTTAGGCCTGGCGGGGGGAGGGGCGGCCGCCTGGCTCCTCCCTCCCTCCTTCCCTGTTTTATTTGTCTTGTATTTTGACGTTCTGCCGTGTTTTATGGGTTCTTTCCTCCGCGGTGGGAGAGGAGGCTCTGTGAGGAAGGCCCCGGGTGCTTCCCCCGGGGGTCCGCCCTGACGTGCGGGCGCTCCTGGGCCCGCTCCCAGCAGAGCTGCATGGCGCTGGGACGGGCCTGGCAGCGGCCTCCTCTTCCTCAAGGGCTGGGGAGGCTGATGGTCGTGCACAGAAAAGTACGATTTTGAGGTACTTTACTCCTATTGCGTTGGCCGTGCCGGTGCGGCCAGGAGAATAAGCTGAAGGCTTCAGCCAGCACTGGGAGCACCTTCCTGGCTGCGAGATAAAATTACCTTCCGGGTCATACCTGTACACAGATAATGAGCTTTTATTCTTGCCGCTTGGGTCAGAATTTGCCCTGCTAAGTCTTAAAGAAGTCTTGTACAAGATTAGAAGTCGAGCTCTTTCTTCAGATTTTTTTCACTCCTTGGAAAAGCAAATTTAACGTGCGATTTTCTGAAAGAAATGTGAACAAAATATTCAGCTGCACTGTCCATAGGAAGCTTCTTTTTAGAAGAGTTAATGCAGCTAACAGTCTACTGTGTTGAAAATTTGTTTCCAGCCTGATGAATCCCTTGACCCTCAAACTTCAATTGAATCACTCTTTAGTCTTTCTGAACGTGGACATCCTGTCTTTAGAACTTGATATTTATGGTGTTTACCCAAGTTACTAACATTGTTGTGAGTTTCCTAGACAAGTGGCAAGACTTCTAAGATACATTTAACTACCTTTGTGTTCTGAAGTGAGGAAGGTATTTGGGCTGCCTTAAATCAAATAAACACTTGATTTTTTTAATTTTTTTTTTTTTGTCTCATTAAAACCAGTGTAAAAGCTGTGCCAAGACTCGTATATAGGATTTTGTTCAGTCAGGTACCTAGGCTACATTTGAAATGGAATAATGAACGTAGGTTTTCTTACTGTCGATGGGTGTCATTGCGCATCCACAGTGCATCTAAACTTTGATGGTGGTAAATGTCTCCAGGAGGATATGTATTGTTTATCATAAATATGCTTGTGTTTAGGCTCAAACTGTTTCTGTGGTTTACTTTTCTTTTTTTAAAGACTGCTCACTGCAGAAGATAATTACTTGACATTCAAGCTTGTAGTTACTTATATTTTTCTTCTGCTTCTGCCTCAAACAATTTTTTTTTTCTTCTTCTTCCAGCAATCGGAAGACTTTGCGAGAAATGTAAGTATAGCTTCTACATATAGTTGCTTGAGAACATGGTGTTGTGGGTAGAGCCATACAGTTTGGATTTGGGGATTGGATTCTATTTCACTTTAACCACGAACTTGATGTCACTCTTTGAGATGGGAACAGTTACTTGTGTGTTGCAAGTGTAAATTGATGAACATTTACAAAGTTACACGCTTAGATTGTCACCAAATGCAGGCTGTTCTAGAGAGTACGCTGCCAGCATTTTCAGTAGCTGAGGCTACAGTGACTTCATGTTTCCTTGTAATCTGTAATACAAAATGATCAGCCTGATCATTTCAAAGCAGGGAAAAGAGAATGCATTTTTGGAATCTGACTTCACACCTTGAGAAAGGTTCCCTTCAGCATCTAGGAGAATAGGAAATGCAGGGAACATCTAGAGTTAGAGCAGAAATACCCCTACAGAATCAAATGCCAGGGCTCAACTGTACAAGGGAAGAAAGAGTGTGATCTGTCATTAGATCGTTGTAGGTGAACAGAACAAATAAGATGACTGGTTCCTGACTCAAAAATAGTATGAAAATAAGCATAGTGGGGAGAAGCACAGTCTGAAGCAACAAGATTGTTTTCAAGAGCACTCAGCAGTGAAACAGATTCCCATTGGTAGTAGTTGAGGGCTGTCATGCTGGAGATTTAAGAGCAGGTTAGATGAGCTGTTTGTGGGAGTCAGGATTAGATGCCTTGGGAACTGGTAATAGGATATCAAGCCTTTCATCCCTAGGTCAGTGTTTTGGATAAGGTCCAGCACAGCAGAGACTGTCAATGGCATCTGATGGCTCCTTGCCTGTATGATGCGAGTACTTGAATTTCACTCAGTTCCTTGTGAGAAAGGAAGAGCAACTTTTGTGAAATTGCTGTTTATGCCAGTTTGCCCTTTCTTTGGCCTTCTCACAGATGAAGGATTAAAGGGACCACGAGTACAATCTCTTATCTCATCTCTTTGAGGATAGTAACTCCAGACTTCTGTTGATGTGGCACTGTGGGAGAAGCTTACACTGCTGCTTCTGTGTAGGTGAGGACACTAGTCCTGTCAGTCCAGCATTTTTTTCACAAGTGAAAAATTCCAAGAAATGTTCTGGAGTAAAAGTAATGGCACGATCTAAGCAGGTGTTGGCAAATCACAGAAGAAGTGACTTTGGGTTTCTTCTCTGATTGTGAATGAATGAATGAATAAATAAAAAACCTCAAATATTGCAGGCTACTGACCCTTGTTCCTCTCAAGTCTGTGTGCAAATACAAAGTTGCACTCTGTGCCTGCAAGATAAATTTCTGCAGTTCAATTGTCTTGTCTTTGAGTATACAGGCAAGTTCTTTGACTAGGAAGCTTTTCCTCTTCAGTGTGGGGGTGGAGAGAAGGATGTTCTGTAACCAAAGGCTCTGCTGTACTTGCAGGTGATGGCAAATGCGTGATCTGTGACTCCTATGTGCGGCCCTGCACTCTTGTGCGCATATGTGATGAGTGTAACTACGGCTCCTACCAAGGGCGCTGTGTGATCTGCGGGGGTCCAGGAGTGTCTGATGCCTACTACTGCAAGGAGTGTACCATCCAGGAAAAAGATGTATGTTGTCATCCAGTCTCCTGTTGAATTGGTTATGTCTTTATTTAGTAGCCGTGCTTACCTTTAAGGGGCTTGGAGCTACTGAAATTAGTGTTGAGACATGGGACGCTTGGGTTCCTCTACCAATATTGGCACTGGTTTTCATTACCTCGTACCTTCTTCCCCTGGTGGTAGTTCCCCGTGTTTGCAAAGCATTTTGAGATATTGTAGCATTTTGAGGTACTGTAACTCTCTTCATCCCAAAGGATCTTTGACTGCTTTGCACTGTACACTCATGGTTCGCTTCTTCCGCATGCTGCAAGTTACCACTTTAAGTTGTTATCTTACTAGATCTCTCCGCCTGGGTTTTATGAGGGTCAGAGATATTCCAGACACTGCAGAGGCAGTGGTAGCAGCAGCTCCTCACTAGAAGTCCACTATCAGCCACTGACCAAGGGCATGTACGGTACTGTAAGGCCTATGGAATCACCACCTGTGTTTTCCTTTGGATTACAACATAAAGTTAGATCTTAGTATCCAGTGTCTGCACTAGTAATTGTGTTTTACAAGGTTAAATTTTCTTACACAATTTCAGTGGGGTACAATTTTTTTTTATTTTTTTTTTAAATTCTGTTCTGGAACGGCCTATACTGTAGACATCTCTTTTTCTGCTAACGCTTTTTGGTGTAATGATCCTGTATTTCTATAGTCAGCGCTATAATCTTTTTATAATCTTCTTGTGCTGAAAGATAGCCGCTGTGCATGTGAAATGAGGCAGCTGTTCACCCCCTGTAAGGTATTTGTTAATATCCAACATGATTAGTGCAGGACATGAAGAACTGCAAATCAAGTGGTAGAAAGACCTCGGGGAGAAGCAAGAGCATGATGCTTGCAGTTGCAATATCCCCAGAATACAGACCTGATAGCTGTTAGAGTGTCCGTTAAAGGTTGTTTGGGCTTTGGTGCTTTGCAAATGCCATCTCTGGCACACCCTAATGACAGTGAAGAACATGCTGAGAGAATGGTTCAGATTGATTTAGAGGCACATACTCAGCTGAGTGAGTTACTGGTTTAATTGTCTGCAGTGCCTACGTTTTCTCTAGAGGCCTGCAGCTAAATTCAGGACAGGGGCAGGTCCTCATCTGAATTTAGTCATTACATCTGAAAGGACCATAATCTTTCTTAGTATCTAAATATGGATATAAGTGCTGTGATGGTGGTGCTGCCTCCTACTTTAGAAATGCTGTGAGAAACAGTAGTTTTGTTCACTTGCCTTTGGAACCAAGACACCTGGCTTGGTAAGTCACGAGTAAATAGGCTTGGTTTTATTTTTACCAATTCATATTGAATACCAACAGGTATTTTTCATAACCCAAGATCACCTATGGCTTATCATGTCTGGTTCAAGTGCGAATAGCCAGCTGCTCTGCAAGGAAGGGTTGTAGAAAACATACAGCTGGAGGAACAGGAGGATGACAAGTCAGAACTGAGGTATTCTGAGAGCTGGGTGAAGGCTGCTGTGGGTGAAGACAGTTGTTCTGTACCAGCAAACTCAAATGTTAGGGATTATTGCAGATGTGAAGTTGCAGTTCTGAAACAGCAGATTTGACATGACCGACTTGCAGGACTGAAAAGTGCTGGCACAGGTATAGGGTGCCTGGAACAAGAAAAGTTAAGTGTGCTGCCTGCAACAACTATGGTAGCTGGTGCTGATGTGAATAAGAAAAGCAGATGGACAGAGCTCTGTACCTGAAGCTCTAACACTCCAAGGTTTCAGTCACAGCACTTCCATCGTCCTCAGAGAAAGACTGGAAAAGATCATGAAGCAAGAAAGCAAATACTAAAATGGAGGGAGGAGGTGGAATGCTGTTGGGCAAGAGGCAAAGGGCCTGGTTACTCTTGGTTCATTTGTTCTGATGGAGGGAGGAATGAGGTTTTGTTTCACCCCACTTCAATCTGTGGGTAAGGGCCAAAATCCCACCTTGTCACCCTGGACAGCTCCGAGTTGCAAAAAGTAATCTTTTCTTGGGGACAGGAGTGTGCTCATGTGCTTCCTGCCTAGGAGGAGGTGGAAGAATGAACAGAGCCCTGCAGTAATGCTGTCAAGATTGTCACAGACTCCCTGGATCGTGGGAGGCAAGGCTTGGAAGAGTCCTACTATTGAGGTTCAAAATCAAATAAGGAGACAGTAGCTAGAGATGGGTTGTGGCAGGTGTATGGGGGAGGGATGATTTCTTTCCCCCCCCTCCTGTTATTTCTACCATGCAGACCCTCCCCACTGGCTTGCATCTCCTGCACCAGAGCGGGTATCGGTGCGGCAGCTTGGGTGCAGTTTCTACAGTGGCTGACATCTGCCCAGAGGCTTTCTAAATCTAATCCACTCGGGCTTACACAACAGCCAAGGACATGTGTTCCTCTGCTTGCATGTGTTTCTCACAGCTGCTGTTGCCAGCCACAACATTTTGCCCTCAAGAGTTATGCAGATGCTGGGCTTAGGTGGCCCATGGACAAATGTTCCCTGGTACACCAAGAGGTGCATCTCTGGTTTGTCTTTGCAACCACACCTCTGAGGTGGGTCTCCCCACTCCCCTTCTTGCTTTTTGTGTGGCTTTTTTCTCACTGTCCACTGGAATTCAGGTAAAAGAACTTATCCGTGTAGCTGCTGTGAATAGCTGTCCTCTCCCAAGATGACCATACAGCCTCTGCAGTCATCAATCCAGGATGCAGGAAATCTGAGATTCAGTTCTGCCATCACAGCTGAGAGGGGTCCCTAAACACGAGAATGGCTTGGTGACATCTAAAGCAACAAGACTCTTTTTGGCTAAGGAGGGGAAAGGTTGTTCCTCTGGGCCCTCTAAATCGTCCATATTCAAATTTACAAAGAATCCAGTCTTGAGGCATTGAGCATCCTTTTCATTAAACTGCTGATGTTATACGAGCTGTTTCCCGTCTTCACCCCGAGGAAGAGAATGTCCTAGAGTAATGTTAAAAAGGCATCCATCCTCTTCTCTGTTCCAGTGTCTTGCTGGTAGTAACCAGAATTGGAGGGCAGTTTGTTTGCACAGGCGTTGAGAATGTGTGTTGAGGACAGGGTGAGGACCGTGGGAACTGACAACCTACTAGAACTGTCTGTGTAAGCAATAATGTTGTTCTGTTTGCCCATCTCCTAACTTACATCCTCTTTCCTTCTTACAGAGAGATGGTTGCCCTAAAATCGTCAACCTGGGCAGTTCCAAGACAGATCTCTTCTACGAAAGGAAAAAGTATGGCTTCAAGAAGAGGTGATCCTATCCGTATGTGGCTACGCCTCCTGTCAGGTTGGCAAGAGGGTCTTGGAACATCTCTGGACTTTACTATTACTGGAAACCGGTTGATTATTTTTTTCTAAAGCAGTACAAATTCAGTAGTATACTTGGGGTTGGAGAAGTAACGGACTGAGTGGGGACTGAAACCTGATCAGAACTGACTATCAGAAAGAGCAAATGAGGATTACTGTCTCTTGCCTTTTCAGAAGCTCTGCTAGTAGCTGCCTATAGTAGCTCGCTATAAAAATCTTGGTGGGCAAGTATTTACACGTGGAGGAGACCAGCTCAGTAAAAAGCAAGTGCCATTTCTGGTGTGGGGAAACACCTTGTGGTTGTTCTTACCAGGCCTCCTCTCAACTGCGTGAAATTGCCGCACGCATCAGTATTGAGGAACAGAACACCGATCCCATATGTCCACTCCCCCCCTCCCTTCCTCCAGTATATTTCCATGCTGCCCTGTTTTGTAAGGAACCTGCTCATGGCTGGTGCCTTCCTAGGGAGAGCACAGCTGTTCCATGTTTTCTTTGACAGATTAATCCAAGGCCTTTTCTTGTAACCATTTCTGTAGGATCCATACCAATAAAGCTTCTTCTTTTGTTTTTTTTTGTGTAACAAGGGTTTCTCTCCAGTTCATTCTGTGCTTAGCCTCTCTGGAGCTTTCTGGGGACACGCAGGATTAGCCCAGCTAGAACTGCACAATGGGTTATCTGGTTTCTGACAGTGTCTGCTTATGGCCGTGTGACCTTGCTGCAAGGAGCTTCAGGGAATGGCTATTGCTTTTGTCTGCCTGTGATCCCAGCCACTGATCATTTTGTCCCATAGCGTGAGGATCGCTGAGCTTGTAACCCTTATCCTAGCTAATACGGCTGTGGATGTTGTTTCACCATGCAAACATCCAATCCCTTTCTAAAACCTACTAAGCTATTTGACTCGCTATCCTGTTCTTGTGAATAAGTTAAAGCCTTCCCTGCTGTAACTGGAAACCAACTATTGTGTTCTAGGCTATTAGCCGTATGCATGCTGAAAACCAGAGGCTGCTTGTTTGTCAAATACCAGTAGAGGCTAAAAGCAGTCTGTTGGCTCAGCAGAGATCTGGGAACAGGCGCCTTTATGCAGAGGCAGAACTGAGTTCCCTGCTAGTACGTGCACTCCTCAGATGGTTAAAGTAGGGTCCTAGCTCAGCGTGCCTTGCAGTCCTAAAAGTCTTCATAGTCTGAGCAGAGTGTGTGCTACAATAACGGGATTCTCTTTGCGCAGTCTTGGGGTGCAGAGCCTGTTTTATGCTCCTTCCAGGAATTCAGTTGTTCCCCTGAGGTTACGACTGATTCCTCTAACTCCTCTCTGGCTTAAACGCCTCTTCTACCTGCTCCAGCCATTTAGGTGTTTTGGATAAGAGTGAAAACAAGCAGACGAGTTGTGATCACCCTTCCCTTAAAAGTCATTTCTTCCTGTTGCAGCTGGCTGTAGCTATGACTGGTCCTACAGCCAGCCATCTCAGCTGCTTCTCCCCCCCCCAACTATTAATTCTGTCAGGTTTCTCTTCCAAGCTTTTTGCAGTCCTGAGAGTATCTGTATGTCTTCTTCCCTGCACCATGGTTCCCTTACACAGCTTCTGGTTAATTTTTACCAATGTGGATGCTATTTGCCAAGATGTTCAGAGCAAACTGGTTCTTTGGTTCCCAGAAACCCAGTCTCTCAAAGGAATTCTACCTGAATAAGCAGCTGCCTCTTGTTCCTGACTGGGAAGCCCATGTCAGAGCCAGTATCAGCCATGTTAAATTCTGTATTTCCTTAAAAGCAGGGCAGGGCATGACATGCAGATTTTTTTGTACCTGGAACTTTATCACTTCAACCAGCATTTATCACTTGCTCTCAGTCAGGCCACACAAATTATCGCACTAGGAGTGCAGAAAGTTTATATGTACTTTTTTCTTTCCTGGAAGTTTCTAAGATAACAAAAGTTGTTCAGTGAAGGTAGAGGGAAATGAAGTTTGAATTACTTCTTTTGTCTCGGAGTTATTGGCCCTGGTGCAGGGACCCCTAGAAGATCTAATTTTAGAGCAGCCCTTGTTCCCGATCATTTAGCAAAGGAGCGGCCAGGCAGGGGTTGCTGTAGAGATACGAGTGTCCCCATCCCTTCCCCCACCCCCAAAAACGGCTGAGCATACTTACTTTCTTGGCACTCACGGTGCCCTCACTCTGACTGCTGGGTATATCGGTCTGCATTCTGGCAGCAATGAGAGTTAAGCTGCCATTTCTAGTTGTTCTGAGTCACTGGGCAGGTGGAGAGAGGGAGGGACAGGCTTTTTCCCCTTTGCCTTGTTTGCTCAGACAGCTCTGGGGAGAATGCCAAATGCTGCTGGTGCTCAGATCAGTTCAGTGCCGCTGCCTTTCTGGCACTTTCAGAGCACGGACGGGACATTGCCCTGAAGCTGCTAATTCAGACAAGGGTAATGGATACAGCTGGGTAGCCTAGAAAAACTCAGCCTTGCTTGTGTGGTAACGATTTCTGTTCACCAGCAAACGAAACCCAGGCGGGGCCCCTGGAAAAGTATTTCTTCCTAAACAGATTTTAAAGTACTTGTCCGGTAGAAGGAGATTTCCTGGCAGTACTGGAGACCAGAGCACATGCTAAAAGGGCGAGCTTCCCTGCAGGGGGGAATGAGACAAGACGTGTCCTGCCACTGTGCGCCTGCCAAGCTCTGGAAAGGCTTCGTCAGACCTTGGAGTCTTAAGCAGCCTGATTGAGGGGCTCCCTGGCTGCCAGCTGTGAAGCACTTGCATGACAACGGCAAGGAAGGGTGGAAGGGACGGCTGTGTCTCTGTGGCAGCTGAACCCCCGGGGTGCTGCCTGCAAATCCTAATTACATGGAACTAAATGTCTCTTCCTGCCATTACTTTTCTAGGTAGGGTTATCGCTTTTTTTTTTTCTTTTTTAGTCAAAAGGAGATTATGTAATAAGTAAAAAAATCCCTTTATTTCAAATATTTACATTGCGGGGGGGGGAACATGGGACCTCTTGGCCTATTAAGTAATTAGCTGCTTTGTTGCCAGTACTAACAAGGCATCGCTGCGTTTTGAAATGTCGATGTTCTCTGTTACACACCTCTTCAGAGCAACTGCCAGCCACAGCTACAACCGAGCTCAGCAAATAGCTCTGTAAGACACCTCTGGTCCTTTGAATCATCTATACCTTGTCTTGACAAAGCCCTTAACCCCGAAGCATCACCTTTCTTTAAAAAAAAACAGAAGGTAGGCAAAGGCCTCGAGCCTGCCTGTGAGCTTTCCCTGTGGGAGTTGCATAGACAAAGTCCTGCTTCTGAAACTGTATCTGCGCAGGAGCTATTATTTTCTCATTACAGGGATCAGCTGGAGATGTTGTTTGCCTGTTTCAGTAGCAGGAAAAACATTTTTCATTTCCTTGGGGTTGTCATGGGACTTGAACATAAAGAGGATTCGGGGTATGGCGGTGTTAATTATGCCCAATTGTAACCTGACTGCCCTTCCTTGGCATTAAATAACCCAGCAAAATGAGCTCTGTCCTGGCAGCCTGGCGATTCCTTCCCTCCCCGCCCGCACGTGATTTGGTAGCTTTCCTTTGACGTAATAGCCAAATGGCTGAGAATGCGTGAGCGGATACTGTGACAGAATTCCTCTGCCTGCATGTGTACTGGGGCGACGCGATAATTAAAGGAGCATGGTCAAGGCACAAGTATTTTAAAGAGCCCTAATGTGTAACACCCTCTTAGTAACACCTTATTAAAACAACAATAGAATTTTAGACATTTCATTGCCTTTTTTTCTTAATGATGCTAAAAATAGTGCAGTCATTTTCATTTCCTGATCTCTGGCTGACAGCGTGATTTTGTTTCCAGCAAAGCAAAGGAGTATTAGGAAAAAAAAAGGGTTCTTTTGTAACCAAATTCCTTTCAAACTAGGAGTGATGAAAATAAGGCTGCTCATAATAGCTCTCATAAATCTTCCCCTTCTCTTCCTCCCTCTTCCACTGCAGAAAAAATAACACCAACTTCAAAAGTTGTTGGGTTTTGTTTTTTTTAATCAGTGGGAAAATGAGCAAGGGTGGCTGCTGTAGCACTGTGGCTAGGGAGGAGAGCATTAACAAATTTCTCAAGGCATGGTGTTGGCTAGCTTCGAAAGAAGTCCTCTTCAGTGGCAAAGGCAGCACCAGAGGTAAAGGGTTCCTAAGTGAGGGACGACAAACCAAACCCAGAAAGATGCTGAGGATCTTTGTGGAAACGGGGCAAGAGAGGAACTTGGTATTTTTGCACTTGGGGGATGGTTGCTATGGAGAATAATTTAACCAGAGGGACATGGAGCAGCTCAGGAAGCGTCTGTGGTCTTTGTCCCTTTTGGAAATGGGCGATAAACATTCAAATGTAACTCTGTATTATTGAGAAGATCCGATTCCAAGATGGAATGTGACCCTGCGATGAGATTTTTTTCTTGGGAATTCTTCAGAACCAAGACAAACAGGACATTTCACAGGCCAGGCAAGCTACCCCTGCTGCAACAGGGACTGCAGTAGCGCTTTGGTCACCGAGACCGGTTCTCCCTCCCTGGTCTGTGCATGTAGACTCCAAGGAAGATACCTGACACGTGGCTGGGAGAGCCTGGAAACACTGTTCTTGGCGTCCTTTCTACTTGTTTGGAGCTTTACTCTCCTTGAAAGCTGCCTTATGTGTGGATGGCAAGAGCCCTTTGTGAGTAGTGTCTGTCCGAGGTGACGGCCTTGGACCGTAAGACCTGTGGCCTGCGGGTGCCCAGAGAGGTTTTCTTCATTTTGCTCAGAACTAGTAATTGGTCTGGTTTAAAATACAAACCGCGGAGCTGTGCGCGCTGGCAACTGCTGCCCTTCAAACACCTACAGTGAGAAATCCGCTTCTGGGTGTGGGGCTGCTTTCGGGGATGACTTGTTACCGTGCCCGGCTATCCCCACCAATCCCAAAGCAAACCCACT